AGCTGTGAACAAAAAATTTAGAAACCCTAAAGTTCTCAATAAACCCACGAACCGGCCGGTTCATCTAGAGAAACCGGTTATGATTTTTTTGGTCATACCGGTTTGGTAGATTAAAACTGAGTTTTCTGGTTTGAAAATACCAGATTATTGGTCAGATTACGGTTCAACCGGTAAAACCTGGATTCACAAACATATTTATCCTAAATCTTGAACATGAATGTACATAAAAAATTGCTTAATTTCTTGTTAAGCAACATTATTTACAAAAACTCTAAAGACTATTTCACTCACGTTTTCCAAATTCCACTCTGATTATTACTCAAATAAGTATAATAATTTCATTCATACTCTCTCTCTCTATTAAGAGAAATCTAGATAAAATTTGTATTAAAGTGATTTAGCTTTCACAGGCTCAATCAGAGAGATTAGTGATAAAGACCAGTCCCTATCCATTTTTTGTCCTTTTTCCAGTGTAAAATGTATCATTAACACACAATTTCAGTTGTATTTTTAGGATTTTAATTCAAAGAAAAATACAAAAACTTCAATTGCTTTCGACCACTGTCTACTTAGAGAAAAAAAGCTGTGACTTATCTTTGTAATGAAAGATTGTGCGGCCCTTGAACATATCTAATGCTCAAAAACAAAATGTACTTGCGCTATTGTGAATATGAAGGTCAACATCTTCATTAACTTAAAAGGAAGTAATAAAATTCATTTGCTTATATGGATTTATATATAATTTGTCGGCAATGAAAATTCTACTGTTGGATTAACCAAATGTGAATCCCAAGATTGGCATTTAATTATAATATCTGGTATGTGACTTTACATTGGAAAAAAACTAAGTAAAAATGGAAAAAAGTAGAATATAGAGAAGTTTGAAGATCTTGTGATTGTTCTCTCCACTGTTGCTCTTCTTTGAAGTGAAAGCTACTTGAGAGATTATCTTTAAAGAATCAATAATCTGTAAAAAAAAAGTTTCTCACTTTTTTTTGTGTGTGTTGCTTCTTTTTATCAAATAATTACATTTTAACCCCAAAACAAAAGAAAATCACAAGACATTTGGTCCTTTGATGCATATCTTCGTCTTCTCTGTTTCGGATATTTGGATCTTGATCGAGTATTCGTCTTCTCTAACGATCTTTTGACGCTCCTCGTCGTCGTTCTTGATGCAGCTTTGGTAAAAGAACAAGTTGACTATGGTGTCAAGAACCAAGAAGAGAGCGTATAAGTAAGCTATGAATGTTCCTTCAAGAATTATTGAGGCAATATCTCTGTCTCCTTTGTAATAAGATCTCACTACTCTGTATTGAAACAGAGCTTCGACTCCTGCTAAACCAAGATTCGTAGGAAGAGCAAGAGCCAATGCTGTTGAAGTTCTTCCACGGATAAGAAGACATGCTTTGAGAATCGTTGTGTATCCTCCTGAGGAAGAAGAAGTTGATGAAACCAAGGCTAAATTGGATATGACAAAGGCGTTTGCGAGGATCATCGAGTAGATAATCGCCGAGGATAAGGAGAAGAAAGTGTAGAAGATTCTAGAATAGAATCCAAAGGTTTGGAGAAGATTGAAAGCTAGGAAGAACAGAGCAAAAGCAGAGGCGTTTGCAGAGAGGAGCAAGAAAAGGTTACAAATGTAGGTTTTGAGAAGACGGATGTAATAAACAGAGGAATCTGCAGAGTGGTTGTTTGTTGATAGAAGTTTGATGACGTAAGCTTTTGAGAAGAGGA